GTTATACTATATTTTTGTCTCCTAGTTTTGTGAATATATTGATTTTTTCGTGTGTTTTCAAAATTTTTAGTTTTTTTCGCACAGTCTTTTAGTTACTAAAATTTAAATTTTTTTTTTTTTTGAAATTCTAATAAAAAAGTTTGCAATTTAGGTGAAACCTTGCAGAATTTGTTTAATTTTTGTAAAAAGCTTGATCCAAAACCTGAGATGAACCAAATGTTTTGAAAATGTACCACGTTTTTTTTTCAAGATCCTAACGCACTGAATTTTTTTTTTTCCAAAGTCCGATCACTGATTGCGATACATGTGTAGCATAACTCGGCGGATTACTCTTTACCTAGTACGAATTTATGTACCTCTGTTATGACTCACACTAAAAAACAACCAAATGAAATCTAATCGACTTTTAGCAATTTTGTACGTACTTAGGATCATACGATTGCTAGTTTGGTATTGTTATAAATAATAGTGGCCCAACTGATAATTTAAATAAAGATCAAGCGAAATCCGCATACGTTCTTGAAATACATATATAGTATATATGTATGTATTATACTCATAGCATTAGCGCACACAAGGGGTGGGCTTTGGGGTTCTAACCCCTCCTAAAGCCAAATACAAACTGTATTTTAAAGCTTAGGACCCAGCTCTCTAGAAAAATCACAAGAAATGTTTTTTATTATTTCTGTTGCTTGAAAAGCACTTTGATTTTGCTGTAAATTTTGTTGAAGAAATAAATTTACAAACATTTTTTTTTTGAGAGTTGCAAACTATTTTATTAAATTTTGATAAAAAGAAAATTTCCTTTCCATTTTTTTACGCGCCATTTTAGATGAATTATTTTTTCTTCAGAGCTCTTAAAAGTTTAACTGCGAATGTAAACAGTGTCCTAAAAATATGCAATGCGTACTCATTTACTGTTGTTTTTTGCACTCTACAGCCCAAAAGCGCTTACCACTTCTACTATGTACTTAACAAAGACTTGAAGATTTCATTTGCCAACTTTAATTCGCATAACCAAAATGAGCTACATAATAGATATACAAGTTCTGTAAATTTTTTCGGTATTCGAAATATTAAAAAAATTAAAATCACCAGCTTCAACGAAAACCAGAAGCCAGAAATCGAGGAAAATGAACATTAAAACTTTTTTTTAACAATTTTACTTTTGAGTTTAGCGCATCGTTGTGTTTATATAAATTTTTATTAAACAAGTAATTTTTAAGCAAAAAACACAACCGACTTCAATTCTCATAGAAATTTAGGGGTACCGTTAATTTTTTCATGATCCAATGATCGGATCTAAGCCAAATTACGGTAGCATACATAAGAAAAGAAAAAAACAAATATTCCGAGGAATTGATAGCCTCGCTCTCTTTTTGAAGTCGGTTGTATTGAGTTCTTTGTTAATTTTAAGTAAATAAATTTCAATTTATGAAACTTTAAAAAGTTCATAAATGTTTTTTAAAGAGCATATTATCGAAAGGGAATTTTCAGTATTTTCTGGTGATATATCTTTATAAGTTTTTACCCCTTCAACTTCAATTCTTCAGCTTTTACAACAAGAAATACATATGAGACACTCCAAGCTATTTAAATTAAAGTTATTATTTTGTTCGATATTGTTGTAAACTGAGTATAATGTACAAACACCTCTAAGGTATGGCAAAACTGGTGGGATTAAAACAAAAAATAAAATTTGCAAAAGTTATTCAACATCCAAAATACTAGGTGTCTCGGCGAAAGCCATTGTTTATAACATCATATCTCGAAAAATTGATTATATCAAAAAAATCAATTCGTACTTTTTTATTGACACAGAGTGAGAGATTTATAAAAAAACAAAAAATGTGTTTTAAGACTGATATTCCATACCTAAGCATACGATTGTTCATGAACCATATAGAAAAAAAAACATGTTTGCAGGTCTTTAAAAATTTTTTAAAGGATCTATCAATATTAGGCCTGAGATATTAATTGTTTCGTAAAGCAGTGGCTGATAAAAAAATAAATTAAAACTTTAAATTAAAATTAATTCGAAATACGTGAGCTGGGCCACCTGTAACCTTTTCTTTCTGATAGCCAAGACATTGACGTACTTTAGAAGAAGTCTAGGTAATATTTATTTCCCTATAAATACTTTGTTTTGAAATAATCATCTTATTTTGCGAAAGCTCGCAAATTTAATAAATATTAACATAATCATTTCATTAATTGGTTATATCTCCTGAACGGCCAGAAATAAAAAAATATTCACGTTCTCGATGTTGTACAAAAAAGATGGAGTTTTACTCTTTCTTTTAATTGAAGTTATCTCTGCCCGTTCAGGAGATCAAAGAACTGATTATATTAATATTGAAATTGGGTCAAAAATAACCGAGCCGAAAATTTCTTAGTGTGGGAAGTTATGTAAAAATGTTTTTTTAAATAAGTTGAGAGTTCGACGGTATTAAAAAAATGTTCAAAACAGTTTCTTGCATTACTCGGCCAGCTCTACGACTTGTACTAGGTCACTTAAAAAGTTCGAGCCATTTTACCGTTTTTTTTTTTTAATTGGTATCGTTGTAAAGGATAGAAGAACACTTAAACTTTCCTAAACCCAAAAATTTCTATTTATATAAATAAAAAAAAATATTAAAAACATTTTTTCTCTCTATATAAACTCCTGCCCCCTAGGGGAAAGGCTGGCTACTCCCAGTATCTAAATTTATGTATATTGTAGCTATCAATATCTTATAAAGAGAAGTGTAAAAATTTTTTTATCTAAAACTAATAAAAAATGAAAATAGTGGAAAAAAGCAAACGATAATTTACAAGGCGTACTTAGCACGGTGCATAGGCAACTGGCTGAGTCAGTGGGATCGTCGGTTCGAATCCTACTGAAAGAAGTCTGATGAGGAAATGTGGTGATTTCCGAAATAGCTATCACTTCTACCATTTTTTCAAATTATTGTTGCTTTTCCACAATAAAATTTTCATTTAAAACGGCCTCGAGCTCAATATAAATTGTTGAATAAAACTAATAAAGTTAGAAGGACGAAATTCGAGGATGTGGTAGTTAACATATTAGTCCTTGACATATATTTTTTTTTCAAAAATAAATATTGGAAACTTCCAAGGGTATTAAATGATAAAGATTTAAAAAGACATTTTCAGGACTTATTCGTCCTGGTGCACCTAAAAATTCAATTTTTTTCTATTCTACAGAGTTTTTCCTTATACTTGATACCCATATTGTCATTCTACAGTGCACCGAATCTTTTGAATTGTTTTTTTATTCAAGCATATTCTAGAAATTTTAAAGTCCTTTTAAAAAAAATCCTGACGCCAGAGAGAAACGCAGTTTTACTATATTTGGAGCCCATTTTTGTGAATATATATTTTTTTTCGTATATAAAATTGACTGTCGCACGGTGTTATCAGTGCCTTAGCAAAATGAAATTTATGGCAAAATTAAATTTATGACAAAATTAAATTTATGGCAAAAATCAAATTTATGGCAGTGTGTTACACATATCTCTGTCTATGAAATGGAAAGCGATTACATACATACACATTTTTTACGCCAAAAGTATCGTGCGTGGTCGAATTTGACCAACAAGAACTTTCATTTCGATTTCGTTTATTATCAACTTCGCTCACACGTAGTCTATTAACGGCCCCACACATTAGTAGTAGTAGTGGTAGCAATTCTTTTTTGTATATTAACATTTAACAAAGATTTTAATAACTAAATAAATGACTAACTTTTCTTAAGCTGTCAGTCGGATTATTTCGGCTGCAGCTCCGGCGCAATTATGTGAAGGTGGAAAAACTCTCTTCCTTTCATGTTAAGATCAAAAATAATAATAAAACAAATCTATAATATAAACCGTATAAAACCAAGTTTCATACTTTATATAAAGTTCATACAAATTCAAAAAAATGTCAGCCAAATTTCAACTTTTTATTCATAATTTGTAAAAAGTTGCGAGCGTGCAATTTGGTAACCCATTCAACTTTAGTCTAATAAAGGGCAAGTTTCAAACGGCTAAAAAATCCTGTTGATTTTTGAGAATTTTTTTTTGGTGACGGGTTTGTGGACTTTGTTGCATATGTGGGTATATCTAAGTATAAATTTCTTATGAAATAAAATGCGAGGAACCGTCAGCAAAAAAAAATTTTCAAAAAATCAAATCAATCAATCAATCAAATTTGTAAATTGCAATTTTTATATAAAAAACCGCAAAAGCAGTCTCCAAACGAAATTCTCAAAAATCAACGGTTTAAACTTGCACTTCATTAGGCCGAAATTGAATGGACTTTCTAGAAAAAGTTGAAAATTTTGATGAAAGTTTTTGAATTTTGGTGAGCTTTATGTAAAGTGTGAAACTTTGATGTATATTGTATATATTATAGATTGAACTATATTTTCATATACATACATATAATTGGTGCAAAAATGTTTCATGAAAATAATTATGAATATTATATTGGAACAAGGTGTATACTTTCATTTGTCGCTTAGTGTATATTTGAAACAAGTTTTTTCGATTTTATTGGCATATGAGGTCTTATAAGAAAAACTGGAGTGCTTTTTCGTCTAAATCAATAAACTTTTTTCTACCGACCAGATATGTTTTTAGGATAAGGGGTTGTTTATCCTCAACCTAAATTAATCTTCCTTCCTATCTTCTCTTCTCTCTATTAAAATTATGGTACAACAAATTTTCGTAGCTGTTTTTTTTTAAGATCTGATTTTTTATCTAACCTAACTTCTATAAGTTAAAGCTCATCATATTTACAGAGACAGGAACAAACTTGTTACTTTTCTAAGCTTATTAAAATGTACTTATATCTTATCACTTTATCTGTATACGAATAAATGCTACATACACACATATCGTCGTTTAAAGTATATACATACACATGTACATATTATTTATATATTCACAAAATTGATAAACCTTAAGTTTTTATTCTCAAAAGCACAAATTAACGAAAACTTTTATTTTTTACAGATGGCGCGGCAGTATCTATAAATTAGTTTGGCTAGATCTCATCGCATTTCTCATTCTCTACTACGTACTTAGTATAGTGTATCGTTTTGTATTAAATGAAAATCAAAAGCAGTAAGTTTTCACGTCTATACTATTTTCTTGCATTTATTTAGTTGCTTTTAAGAACTTGGTATATATTTTAAATGCGATGATATTAAAAGAACAACGACGGTTGATCTACATATAAAATTTAATAGAAATAATTTTCGTTTATAAAAGTTCGGCTCATTTCGGCCCCAATAAAAATTGGCTGATCTTCGACTGAAAAACTGTGCATACACATATATTATTTTTAGTACATATTAAAAAAGAAATCTGTGGAATAATTCAATTCCCCAAAGGACCTTTTTATAAACTTTCCTGAAGCTTGTTTTTCGAAGTATTTGTTCAGGTATTAATTAAAAGATTAAAATAGTCTTCAAAACATTGCTTACTAAATTCTTTTACATGTAGATTTCTGGCAACACAAAGTATTAAGCTGGCATTTCAGGGTACTATTTTATATATATATATAAGGAAAATTTTAAAGTTGGGGGGGCTCGAGCACCCGCCTGCCCTGGCTACGCCCATGTACTGACGGTCACAGACGTTACCGCTGGCGCCCTAAAATTTCTATTCTACTATATCAATTCGTATGATGAGCGTATGCATGACTACCTACATCTATACATTAGCGTGGGCCGAAAATCTGCTTTTTTAGAATTTTGATTGGCAATAGCAAAAATAGAGTTCATTATGATCTAAAAACATTCTGTGTGAAAGATGACAATTTTTGGTCAAAATCTAAGGCCCGGCCAAGTCCATCAAAGTTCAAGTGCTAAAAAAATTTTTCTCAGCTTACTCTAAATCTTTACAAAGAAAGTCCATATACCAAATTATGTAGGACTAATACTTTCGAAGATACTTGCAATTTTAGTAAAAAAAAATATTAATTCATGTATTTATTAATTGTTATTTTTTCGGCACATTTAACTTTGATGGACTTGCGCGAGCCTAAGACATTGCCCAAAAATTGTCATTTTTCACACAGAATGTTTTTAGAAGGCGTACAGCCGAAAATATTTTTTGAAGGCTGCCACCTGTTTGAAAATATTAACTCAATATGGGTATCAAACTGAAATGGTTTAGAAAGGTTTACTTCCGAAAATATTTTTGAGCAAGGTTGCCACCCGTTTGAAAAATTGTAGTAAATTAAATTGATAAAATAAATTAAAGTTTACAATACCGGTATCAGACATCAGAAAAATACTTTTAAGGCGCAGTGAAGCACGCCGGGTATTTGCTAGTATCTAATAAATAATAACCAAGAGTAAAGTTTCCGACAAACGGTTGAAAATATTTTTAACTTCAAAAATTTTCAATTTGTTTCGGCTTGGATCGTGGCCGAATATTTTTAAATTTAGTCGAAATTCGCTTCGATATTACCATTATCTCACTAATGAGTCTATATAGTCTAGGCAATGTCAAAAATTTATATTAAAATTGAATTATTACAACTCATCGAAATCTTAAATTTTCGAGGCTCCTTTACTATTTACATATGTATTATTATTTATGTTAGATCGTAAATAAATACTAATGGCCTTATTCATAAAAAATAAAGTAGGTTTAAAAAGTTGTAATTGGCATTTTTTTTTATGAATAAAGCTACATACATATAAACCTTTAATGAAATCAAAGCTAAGCCCAATTAAGTAAAAGAAAATATTAATACCACAAATATCAATCATTTATCTATGCAGAATATTCGAAGGCGTTGCCAAATATTGCTACAGCTACAGTGATCTTATACCGCTGTCCTTTGTGCTGGGTTTCTATGTGTCCATAGTGATGACACGATGGTGGAATCAGTACACCAGCATACCTTGGCCCGATCCGATTGCCGTTTTTGTCAGCGCCAATGTCCATGGACAGGATGAACGTGGGCGTGTTATGCGTCGTACAATTATGCGTTACGTCTGCCTCTGTTTAACAATGGTGTTGATTAATGTGTCGCCGCGCGTAAAAAAACGATTTCCCGAGCTAACACATCTCGTCGATGCAGGTCTCTTGAACGACAATGAGAAGGCGATTATCGAGAGTATGAATAAGGGATTTCCGCGTCACTCCAAGCATTGGTTGCCCATTGTGTGGGCGGCAAGTATTATAACCAGGGCACGCAAGGAAGGACGTATACGTGATGATTTTGCTGTGAAAACAATTATCGATGAATTAAATAAATTTCGAGGTCAATGCGGTTTACTAATATCGTACGATACGATCAGCGTGCCGCTTGTGTATACGCAAGTGGTCACCTTGGCGGTCTATTCGTTCTTTCTCTGCTCGGTGATGGGTCAGCAGTGGACCCAGGATAAGGAGGCTTTTCAGAAGATCGATTTATACTTTCCAGTATTTACGACACTGCAATTTTTCTTCTACATGGGTTGGCTAAAGGTGGCCGAATCGCTGATCAATCCATTCGGTGAAGATGACGATGATTTTGAGGTGCGTTTAGAAAACGTTTTCAATTTTCTCTCTCTTTCTGGTATTATTTATTTGTTAAACATTATTGCAATAGGTCAACTGGATGGTGGATCGTAATCTGCAGGTCTCCTACCTAATAGTCGACGAAATGCATCACGATCATCCCGAACTAATCAAAGATCAATACTGGGAAGAGGTGTTCCCCAATGAACTGCCATATACCGTGGCATCTGAACGTTTCCGTGAGGAGCATCCCGAACCGTCTACAGCCAAGATCGAGGTGTCGAATAAGGCCGCCATGCCAACAACGCTCTCTAGCGTACGCATCGACGAAATGGTTGGTAACAAAGGGTCAACCAAGCAATTGTCGTTACAAGGGCTAACCCAAAATCCAGATCAAACCCAAACACAGACACCAATGCAAGCAGTTAATTATAAATTTCCTGAAATGTCACAAGAAGAGGAGGTTAGAATCAAAATTCTCGAGTGCCTTAAAAAGCACTGCAATAATTACTACAAATACAACTTCAACTTTAAGGCAATATTGGCAGCAATTTGAAATGCAAAATAATTACTAATTGGCTTACCTACACATAAATAAATAATTTGACGTCGCAGCGAAACTAATCGTACCAGTGCTCGTACAACCCGAACTATGTAAAGCTGGTTGCAAAAAAGCAAAAGCTGTTAACGTCTCTGTCTAACTGCAATATATATGTACTTGTGCACCTATTTCTCGTACTATGTACTTGATGAAACAGAGTTTTGCAAACTTATAAATGTGTATCTACTTCAAGTTAATAATCGAATTGATGGATAATTGGCCTAACAGACGGTGTTTGGGGTGCACTTTCACATAGTTAAATTTTTGTGTACATACATATATGGTTTTGGTGTTTTTCTACTATGTATACCTATATATATATATGTATATATGTATACATGTAAATTTTAGGTATAATAGGTCAGTCGCAAACAAGTGTAATTTACATAACAATAGCTGCATACTACGTATGTATGTATTTATGCTTAACTGGTTCAATTTTATAATAAATTTGTTGGCTGCTATTGTACCTGAAATATAATTAACATACATACATACTTCGTATTTATTATTGCAAAATAACCTTCATTGAGCGTTCTATATCTACTACTTACACATGTACATATGTATGAATGTATATGTGCATGTAAAAAATCAAAAAATGTGTCTACTTTTTAATCCGGATTTAGCTAAAACCCATGGAACTAAGGAAAATCCTTCATAAACGCAAAAATAACTAACAATAAAAATATAAATAAAATAATTTAAGAATTTCGTGAACTAGTCACATTCTCCGAGACTCTGGAGAAAATCTATCGCCGCGTTTTTTGAGAAATTGCATTCCAAACTTCAATCACGATTTCCCAAAACTTGCCGAAAGTAGCATACAACAATATTTTATCCAGCCGATGAGATGTAAATACATACATACAGAGGTAGTATTGACATAATGCCCAACGAAGTTAAATTTGCAATGCTGTGTATGAACAGAGAATACACTCCTTATTATTGGCTGGAAAAACAAAATGTTGAACCACCCTATTATATGTACATAGGTACATAGCACTTATTTTGTAATGCACTTAAACTATATTCAAAGATCTTTTCAGTCTTAAAAGTAAAATTTTGATTCTAATTCTTTCTTCTACAGCAGCTGTAAAATTGCTTTACTTAAATACATATATATTTCTATATACACACATACAAGCAAGTGTAGTTTTAGCAAAATGTAGACTGTAGCATATACATATATTTATTTACAAAAAAAACTACTCCAAGTATTAAACCGCCTTCGATGTAGATTTGCATTTTTCGACACCTTAAAATAATTAAATTGTTATCAAATTACTTCGCAAAATACTCTACAAAATTAATCATTCTGCTATGTACATATAAGTTTGAATAGTATGCATATGAATACATATCGCTTGCTTAAGCTGAAACGTTGCTAAGTCTATTTTTACAAATTTCACAGGGGAGGAAAAAACTTCAAACAGTCCTTTATTCAAGTATTTTGCAAAACTTAAATACAACACTTTTGCAAAGCAATAATCCATACGAATCTGAAAGATACTATCTTTATTAAAATAATTCGTATTATTTTGGGCTAATCGGATTTTCGGAGCCTATTTTGGACTTAGCTAAATTGCATTTCATTGAATATAAACGAGAAAAAAGTTAAACAAATACCTTAATCATTTCCGAAACGGTATATTTTTAATTTCTATTGCTTCCTGTATCAAAATATGAGTTTTCATAAAAATTGGACTTAGCAACATTTTACTCTAAGCTTGCGATATGTACATACAAATCTCTGGTTTGCTGGAAGTATATCGTATATTAAAAATAACTTTTTTTAGTTAAGTGTGTAGTATGCGTGAAAAATTCATACCGATACCTGAAATTGTCTCATAGGAAAAGAAATTGCTTATTTTTCAGCTTTACTCTTTTCCACGTCAATCATGCCTTTTACCAGATAAAGGTCCCTTTCGGCATGAGAGATATAACTTTAAGTGAAGTTACTGCCAGTCTTACCTGTGAAGTGAATTATCTAGTACTGTATGTGAACACCAAACTTCGATGGTAAATATTGTCCAGGAATATGGAGAAATTAGGCTCCCAGCTCCCGCTAGCCGTATTCCTCAGGGATAATATACAAAATAGTATTTGAGACGTTTTGGTTTTATTCTCGTTTGGACTTAGCAGTGAAGTTTTCGTGACCTACAGATTTTTTAGCCTTCCTTAATAGTGAAAAAAAGAATGTAGTTATTTCTTCATGTAAATTTTGTCTGAGTTTTCCTACAAAATTTAAATGTGCTTCGAAATGCTCGTGAAAAAACAGTGCCAATTCCTTGCAATTTGTTCAATCGCAATCAGTTAAGAGCTCAGAAACTAAAGAAGAACAATATGAGAACAAAATTGGTGGCGCACGACAGTACTACGCCAGACAAAGGGTTTTTACTTGTGGGATAAAGTTTCGAAGGATTTCCACTTCTAAGCAATCTCCCAAAGAAGAAATCGTCACAGGTATTCTACAAAGGTTGCATGCGCAAACTAGATATCTGGTCTTACGATCTCTACCGCTTCTGCTATTCGACCAAATGGTACCCTTATAATGACTTTTGCGCAATTGTATCCAAGAGACGCGAGAGAAACTTAAACCTTAGAGCGTCACAATACGAGCACATTCACTATCTACCCGCTACAGCACTTTTGGAATTTTTGGTGACCTTAGGTTTAAGAGAAGTGTTGTGAAAAACAAATTAAAGTTTTATACTCTGACTCTAATTATTTTACATATTCTTTAGTTTTTATTCCTGTTAAATAGGAAATAACTAACAAACAAGTTTAAAATCGTTTTTTCTCAAATTTTTTGAGTTAAGAAGTACTTCCGGCAAACGTTTATTTTTACTTATTCATCCTAACCATAAACATACATAGGCAGACAACCACGAAAACGCTTCAGTCCATCACTGAGGAACCTTTCATTATTTGAAAGAGATAAAGAAATTTCAAAAAAATTGGACTGTTCGTAACGAGCCAAAAGGAGACTAACCCCCTATTATGAATTTTCGTACGATAGACGATAAACGCTTGCAAGCGTATCGTATGAAATCAGTTCTCGTATTATCAGTTTTATACGCCCGACAGATGTATTGTTGTGAATGGCTGTGGTTTCTGTTCACTTTTTATTGTGAACCAGTACAAATCAGCTACGCTAACTAACGATTCGTAATAGAGGATAACAGAATGCAAGCGTTTACTGTGCATCGTACGACTTCAAAATAGGAAGGTAAGTTGAAGATTAAAACACTTTTTTGGTAAAAAAAATGGATTTTATTAAAAAAGTCGCTGATTTATCAAGCCTCCATCAAGACATGGTTTTCAAAATTTTACTTAGATTTATTTCGATTTTCAAGAACCAGTTCTTTTATTTTTTACAAAGTTATTTAAAATAATAAAGGGTATATATTTTTCACATACATATGCGTACACACTAGGGATGTTAATTTTTCAGCTTTTTCCGATCTCGGGATTAGTCCCGGAATTTAGATATTCATTACTTTTCAACAACTTAAATCGAAAAAATTGTGTCTCCTACCATAAAATAAATAATAAATAAATGGGTTGGAAACCTACTTTTTTATTTAAAGTTGCGTTTTTATTTTTTCTCTCTGACGTCAGGATTTATTTTAAAGGACTTTATAATTTCAAAGATATGATTAATTCCAAAAATTATACAAAAAATTCAATGCAATGTAGAATAAAAATATGGAAACCAAATGTAAGAGGAAATTTCTTTAGAATTAAAAAAAAATAAAATTTTTTGGATTCACAAGGACAAATAGGTAATTTTTTAAGTTGATAAAGCTACAAGGACGAAATTCGAGGATGTTGTCGTGTTTATATAAGTCCTTAACTTAAAATTTTTTCAAGAACAAATATTGCGAAATTTCAATAATAACATTTTAAAAGTACATTTTCAATACTTACCAGTACCTCTGCACCAAAATATATATTCTGTTTAAATTCTACAGGATTTCCTTTTTAATTTCATACCCATACTTCTAACTAAAAACGCAATTTTACTTTTTTTTGCCCATTGTTTCGAGAATATATTTATTTTTGTGTTTAAAACTTACTTTCGCGCGGTGTTATATGTATAAGGTGCTAGACATTTATAAAAAAAATTTTAATTATAAAATAAAAAAAAAAAAATATAGCCAATACTAGTCAAGAAAAGGAGTTTCTATTATTGCCAGCAGTGCAAATTACAAATCCCGAAAATCCCGGGATTATTTTCCAAGAATCCAGGGATTTTTGGGACCTTAAAAAGGCCAGGATCCCGAGATTAACATTCCTAATACACACACGCATAAAACATATTTATTTTAGAATAATTTTTTGTGTACTTTCATTTAAATTAATTTCGTGACACGCACTCAAATCCAACTAAGTTAATTTCACTCAAAATCACTGCACCATAGCACACGTACATATGTGTGGTAACAGGGTTCTGGATTACACTTTAACCGCACGCACCTCAAAACTGTGTGAGCCTAACTTTCACGGATTTATATATTAACTGCACGCACACTTTCTAAATATCTTAACCATATAACTCTATCAATTGGCTATTTCCTACAATGCTTTGGGTAACAAAATATATTTGACAGTTCTGTAAACAAATTGCAATTGGAATTTTTTTTCTACATTCATATTAATAAAACCATGTATGCATTTCCCCACTCAATTTTATAGGCCGATGATGCTAGTGGCATTCATTTCACAGCCGGCAATGGCAAGGTGCGACACGGCTCTTCGCCCAGCCTTGCCAGCTTAAGTGGCACATTGTCGCGCGTCAATACAGTTGCATCGGCGCTAAAGCGCTTCCTCAGTCGTGAAGAGCGTCCCGGCTCCACAACACCAGTCGATGAGATTTCACAAAAAAATCGTTTTCCTGGCAGTGCAAGTTCGGCCAGTCTAACCGGCAATTTGATTATGAAGCCACCCGGTAGTATACGCATCACTGATCAAGTCATCGAAGAGGTCGACGAACAAACCACAATCACATCGCAGCGTGCCAACGATCAGGTACGCCCGAATGTGCGCGATATTTTCTTGCAGGATCTCAACAATCAAAGTTCATCGGCGGCACAGCGCTCCGTGCCTATGGATATTCCGCCCAGACCCGCGTCATACATGCGCACACAGTCCACTTACGAGCCGACGCTCTTTCCGCCGGGCGGTGTGGAGGCATTGCTTAGCACGTCTGCGCCAACGAATGGCAGTCCACGCATGGTGCAGACAGTGCCAAACTCACCAGTTGCTGATCCATCGAGCACCAAATCTCTCTTTGATCAGCAAATCAATCAGGAAAAGGGCAGTTGCGAAACGGGTAAGTGTAAAAATTTCGAGAGAGAGTTTGATGCATAAAAACACAAACAACTTCAGCATTAAAAAAAATTTCATTTATCCATTTTTTTTTTGTTTTGGAAATCAGCATTAGAACGTCCCGCCGATGCGCCGCAGGTTTTCAGATGGTTTTTATCGACTGGTAAAATTTTTGTTAAAACTTATTTTAATTTTGCTAAATTCCTTGTTGTTTAGTTAGTTGTTCCTTTTCTAAGTATAGTGAACAAGTTCGGTTGCTTTTTCTCTACATATGTAGACTTTTGTAACAGTATTTATTGGCATGTCTTGTTTTTGATTACTTAATTATTGTATAAACTGTTTTATGCGCTGTCTTGCAGACGAGAAAAATTAAAATAAGTTCGCCATTAACCCCAATTTGATTCTTTGTTTATACTTATTCGAATTAGGATTGCTTAGCTGCCGTTAACTTTTTTGATATTGTACTGTGACACACATAGATAGATACATACATACGTACAACCCGACTTCAACTCGCATATATCTCATGATCCGCTGATCGGATCTTAACCAGATTAGTAAATCGTGAAATCGGTTGACGTGGTCCAAAGTTATGCGGTAACATACATAAAAAAAAAAAAATATTCCGACGAACTGATAACCTCCTCCTTTTTTGGAAGTCGGTTAAAAATTAGTAACTTTTTCATGTGATTTACGGAGAAGCCACATAAAAGCAAAGATACCCTGGTTTTCTTCCAGTTCAGCACTTTTCTTTGAAATTTACCATTCTTCTAAATGAGACTAAAATCAGGCGTCTTCGCTGTCTACAAGTAAAAGTGCGAACCCAGTTTTGAAGAGTGCCAGGGTTGTTGCGAATATTCGCATTCGCATTCGCAACCGAGGAGCTTCCGCATTAATTTTAACATTTGCATCCGCTCTCGCATTCGCAATAATCAATGCGGAGCTTTTGCGAATGCGAATATTATGCAAGTGCACTGATATAAAACGTGTATCTGGCACAATGACAATTATGTAACTAACTATCGAATATTATTTGCCAAAGTTCTGTTGCAAAATCTCGATGCATTTTTAGTTTCTATTTTACTTTTTCCTGGATAAGTGTAATAATTTTTTGTTTCATAATTCGGGTTATTATGATTAAGTTCTGTGTTTTCTTTTATTACTTATCGGAAAAACACTCCAGATAATTTTTACCGGTTTTACTATGCAAATACTCCTCTGTGCGCTCGAAAGCAGCAACATTTATTTTAATTCAACAATTTTTATCGAGCTCGAGGCCATTTTTAATAAAAATGGTTGAATATAATTGTTATAAGGCCACAAAATAACTTAAGGACGAACACACCTATAAGTTAAAAATTATTTTTTGTGTATATTTTTTTTATATACTTGTATATATTGAGAACTATAACCAAAACCAACAACCACATGAGTAAGTTCGAATAGCACTGGAATAGCTGCGCTTGATTGTAGTTGGCTTCACAAATGAAAAAAGTGGAAAAAAGCAACAAGAATTTGCAAGGCGAACGTAAGCAACTGGCTGAGTCAGTTGGGGTCGTTAGATCGCATCCCACTGATGAGGAAATGTGGTGATTTTCATAATTATTGTTGCATTTCCACATTAGTTTTTCATTAAAAACGGCCTCAAGCTTAATAAAATTTTTTGAATATAATTGTTATAAGGTCATAAAATAACAACAAACAAATTTATTTTAATATTGTGATAATTGGCAAAATTCGCACGCAGCGAAATAAAAATAAAATGGAATGTGAAAAAGTTGAGTTAAAAATGACTAACCTCATAAACCTAAATCTCATAGCTAACTTACCTAAATTATTTCTTAGAAATACTTGACGTCCGCATTCACATCCACACCCGCGATGTTAGCTTTTAAACATCCGTATCCGCATTCGCAACCGTGGATGTCTAAAATTCCACATTCGCAACATCCCTAATATGTACATGCATTAGGGAGTTTCAATATAGTTTTCGAATGAATAAGAATTCAGCAAAATTTTAAAATATATGTATTTAGATATGTTTAGACTTGACAACTATTTTTCAGTATTACTCCCGAACGCTTATTTGTATTTTGTATTCAGGGCTATCACAGAATCCGAATGGCTATGAACGTAAATTCGAAATTCGTAGATAGTTATCGTAATGAAGATTCATAGAGATATTCTACAACGAGTTTGTGATGTCGGAACAAAATTTAAAATCACTGAATCTTAAAAATATTGGAAAAAGCTGCATTATTGTAAATAATCTATATTTATTACATAAATGTGTACATACACACATTCATCTGCTAGACGCAATTTAATGAATGAATATCGTTTTGAAGCGTGGAAATAATAGTTTAAAAACAATTTATTAAGAAAAAACCTAATTACTTTAATATCATAAAAATTAATATAAAAAAAAATATTTTACTCTTTAAAATAATGAAATCTTCTCTACAAAAAAAAAATATTGAAAAAATAAAAAAAAGTTTCGCTACCGAACGACT